ACTTCCTCCACTGCCAGAGATCTTGAATAGCCTCCTGGTCAGTCATCTGGAACCAATTCTTCACATAATTGATAAACTTGGCTTCCACTTTGGGAGGGGACCACCTTTTTCTATACTTGCTTGCATTTTGCTTAATGTCTTCTACAGAGCTAGGTCCTTTCGGTGTTTTAGGTGTTTTTTCCTGTTTTTCGAAGGATTCTTGACCTTTTGATCTTGGTGTTGATGATTTTGAGTCTTTTCCATTTTGGTTCGATTTTTGTGCATTTTTGGCTGGAGTATCTTGCACACATTTCCTTACTGGAGTTTTTTCTTCAACTTCCTCATCAAAATCGTCATCATCATCATCATCTTCATCATCATCGTCGTCATCTTCAACATCATCGTCATCTTCATCAGCAGCAAGCTTTACTTTTTTCTGAGGAAACTTGCTACCACTTCCAGGGGCAGGACACTTTCCAGATATACTTAGGAGTTTCACATCCTTCTCCTCTTCATCTTCTGACCCTGCCTCTTCCTCCACAGCTACTAAGTGCTGTCCACTAATATGCACAGGCCCTGAACCACATTTCAATGGTAAGACCACAGGTGGTGTAATTTCAAAGCCCCCAAGAAGAACCATTGGCTGTACAGACATTTTCAAATTTTCCAGTGTTGCTTTAATTGGACTGCCTTCATCATTCATCATCTCTGCTTCAACAATGTGTAACTCATCCTTTGCTCCAGCCCCTAAACTGACCATTCTTAAAGATAACTGGTGCTCATTTTCATCATTATCCACCTTGAAGTGATAATCTCTGTCAGCCTTTAGTTCACAACCGAAAAGATAGTTCTGGGGCCTCAAGGGCCTCATGTCCATGTCCATTGAATCCTCCATGGGTTGGCGGCATGCACTCATGTGGGAGAGAAGCTTGACAGGATTAAACAACTTCTGTTCAAACGAGCAGCCGCGCAGGACAGAATCACACCAGGGACCAAGTATTTATTTTAAAAATAGATATATCACAGAAACTTTCTCTGAGAATAAAAAGATAGGAAAGATTTCTTGACTTGTTTTATGAGGCAAAAAAACTCTCAATACCAATACTTGACAAAGAAATTTTAAGAATAGAAAAACATTATAAATAAAACATTAGAAAATTGGATCCACATAATACATTATAAGCAAGTTACATAAACAAAATTTTGTTTACCATTTGAGAATTTAAGTGTGACTCAAAACATTAAAAATAGAAAAGATATAAAACATTTTGTCATCTCAAGAAATTCAGAATAAGCTCTTAATGAAATTCAATAGTCATCCATAATAAAAATGATAATTAAAAAATTTAATAACTTTGAAAGAAAGTGTTCTTAATCTGAAAAAAAAATATCCATGATACACTTAGAGATTTTACCATAACTAATATTGTTGTTTTTCAGTCACTCGGTCATGTCTGACTCTTTGCGACTGCATGGACTGCAGCACTCCAGGCTTCCCTGTCCTTGACTATTTCCAGGAGTTTGCTCAAACTCATGTCCATTGAATTAGTGATGACATCCAACCATCTCATCCTTTGTCATCCCCTTCTCCTCTTGCCCTCAATCTTTCCCAGCATCAGGGTCTTTTCCAAATAGTTGGCTCTTTACATCAGGTGGCCAAAGTATTGAACTTCAG